CATTTTTGCTAAGGCTAGAACATGACTGATAATAATAGCTATATATTTCTAAATTAGAGTGGCATTCAGAAGGAGTTGATCAGGGTTGTACTTGTGCAGTTTCATAGCCGTTTCTGAGTTAGCAATTTGCAGATCTGTTTCATTAATGTTTTAGGAGATGATTTACCAGAATAGCATATGTAGGTAGCTGTATTATAAGAATTTGGATTATCCACCATTTTTCTGTAGTCCATTTTACTACTTTACTTTATTAATGTTGCTGACTAAGAAAACTGTACATTAGAAATGCAGGACTCCAAGGAAGCAGAGAAGGAGTAAGATAATGATGTAGGAAGATGGAAGAAGATTTTAGAATAGTAGTTTGATAATTTTGTATTAATAGAATAAAGCATTTTGAAATAATTATTAATGCAGAGTCTTCATCTTAATTTGCATATGGTATACTTTTACCTTTCAGACCCTAAATCACAGCCACAGCAGCTTCATCAGGGACAATACAGATCGTCAAATACTGAGCAAAATGGAGTAAAAGATAATAATCATCTGAGACATCCTCCTAGAAATGATACCAGGCAGCCAAGAAATGAAAAACCGCCTCGTTTTCAAAGAGACTCCCAAAATTCAAAGTCAGTTTTAGAAGGCAGTGGATTACCTCGAAATAGAGGTTCTGAAAGACCAAGTACTTCTTCAGCATCTGAAGTATGGGCCGAAGACAGAATCAAATGTGATAGACCGTATTCTAGATATGACAGAACTAAAGATACTTCATATCCTTTAGGTTCTCAGCATAGTGATGGTGCTTTTAAAAAAAGAGATAACTCTATGCAAAGCAGATCAGGAAAAGGTCCTTGCTTTGCAGAGGCAAAAGAAAATCCACTTCCTCAAGAATGTGTAGATTATAATAATCAAAAACGTGGAAAAAGAGAAAACCAAACATCTATTTCTGATTATTTTTATGACAGGAAATCACATACAATAAATAATGAAGCTTTCAGTGGTATAAAAATTGAAAAACATTTTAATGTAAATACTGATAATCAGAATCCAGTTCGAAGTAATAGTTTCATTGGTGTTCCAAATGGAGAAGTAGAAATGCCACTGAAAGGAAGACGAATAGGACCTATTAAGCCAGCAGGACCTGTCACAACTATACCCTATGATGATAAAATATTTTACAATAGTGGGCCCAAAAGAAGAACTGGGCCAATTAAGCCAGAAAAAATACTAGAATCATCTATTCCTATGGAGTATGCAAAAATGTGGAAACCTGGAGATGAATGTTTTGCACTTTATTGGGAGGACAACAAGGTATGGATGCTTTAAAGATACTATACACTAATATTACTAAATGTTACATTCTAGCAGGACTTTCTAGAAGCTGTCACTTTGGAACTATGAGTTTTTTCCTACTATCGTACCTGTTTAAAATCTTTGAACAGATTTATAGATATATGAAGGATAAACAAAATATTTAATATTTTTATGGATGCCTAGGGACAATCTGTCCCATAAGATTTGGTTAAGTTCAGTTTGGCTTTAGCTTACGTGCCAGAAAAATATTGTAAAAGTAATTATGTGAAGTTGAACTTTATTTTACTTATCATCAGCTGAATTACATATGTTTGCTTTTCACTCTGGTAAAATTACGCTGATTCACAAGGAAGAAAATCAGTTGAGTGGCACAAAATGAAATTCTGCAGATTTTCAGTGAAAGAAAATAGTACACATTCAGCCTACTTTTTAAAAAAGTTAACATGTAAGTTAATTATTTATCTTGTAATGATTTAAAAATTATTAAACCATCGCTTCTCGGCCTTTTGGCTAAGATCAAGTGTAAAAATTATTAAACCAATTTTTAGTTTTATATTATATGGTGGCTTAAGGGAAAGAGAGAAATTGTAGGGGAAAGAAGGAAGGAAAGACAGAAGATGAGGGCAAGAAAGAGTACAGTGGGTCAAGTAAAAGCCTAGCCAAGAGTTAGAAGACCGGCACAGTGAGAACAGGAAAGGGAAAGGGACAGAGAGACCATCAGAGAGAAGGGGACTTGGCACATTTTTTTTCCTTCTGCCCAACCTGCTCTTCTGTCAGCTAGTCTTCTCATCCTTGAGGGCTTGGCTCAAACCTCACCTCCTAGAAGAAGCCTTCTTTGACCTGCCCCATACTTCTACTTACATTATTCTCTTTATCAGTGCCTTAATCACTTTTTTAAATTTATCACAATTTGTAAATATTTTTTGTTTTGGTTCTTGAATTGGTATCTCTTTGCACTACCATAATATTAAGTTCCTTGAAGGCTGGACTCTGTCTATCTGGTTTTCGTCTGTAGTCTTGCTTCTTTCACAGTATAGGGACTTCATAATTATTTGTTAACTCTGTTAGTTAATTGTGGAGAGAGCACTTATATATGATGAAAGTAGGATGGTGAGGGGATGAAGACAATAGCAAGGTAATAAAAATGTATGTAAGGGAGTTACAGAGCAAAAGGTCTGGGAGGATGTGAGAAGCAACTCAAAAGAGGAAAAATATTCTAAATAATTTTTTGTTTGTTTGTTTGAGATGGAGTTTCACTCTTGTTGCCCAGGCTGGAGTGCAATGGCATGATGTCAGCTCACTGCAACCTCCACCTCCCAGGTTCAAGCAATTCTCCTGCCTCAGCCTCCCGAGTAGCTGGGACTACAGGCAAGCACCACCATGCTGAGCTAATTTTTTGTATTTTTTTTTAGTAGAGACAGGGTTTCACCATGTTGGCCAGGCTGTTTTCAAACTCCTGACCTCAGGTGATCCACCCGCCTCGGCCTCTCAAAGTGCTGGGATTATAGATGTGAGCCACCGCACCGGTCCAAAATAAATATTTTATAGGTTGCAGTTGATACAGTAAGGGTGTGCCTATGAGAGTGTGTGGCTAAAGGGAATGGTATAAGTAAAGGTAACTGAAGATTTCAAGGAATTGAAATTCACACTAGGGATTTGGGTGGATCCTTTATTAAGGATGCTATAGGATTTGGGGTCAAGAACCAGGCCTTCTTGTGTTCATTAAATAATGAGGTATAAGCAGAGTGTTAGATGTATAAGCAGAGTGTTAGATGTTGCCTGATGATAGAATAAGGAGTACAGAGTGAAACAGCTACATGGCCTAGGCTTTTAAGGTTTTTGTGTGAGTGGGATGATGATTGTTTAGAAACAGCATCTCTGTCACATCTTTACTTAAGCCTGGAAGGAAAGGAGGAGACAGCACTGTGTGTCTTTTCTTTTTCTCTGGAAAAGCAAAATCCTGGTATTCCCAGGAATACCAGCAGATTTGGAACTATTTCATATGGCCACTTCCTGGCTATTAGGAAGGCTTGAAACACAGATGCAGGTGGTCTTAACCATCCAGATTCTTATTCTTCCAACTCAGACCACTTACTTTCCAAAATTCAGGAACTATTTGTTTTGAGTAGTGGGAGATTCATTATATTTAGCTATTTCTCCTTCATGGTGGAGGCAAGAAAAAGTGAAGTACTTGGAAATCAGTGTTTATTGAGCCAACAGTAGCTACCTTAGAAATAATAGTCACTATATCTGATGCTCCCGTGAGAGGTTAACATGAGGATGGAAAAGTGTTTTCTGTATTGGATAATGTGGGGTTATTGGTGACCTTGACAAGAGCAGAAGTAAGAGATTGGAATTCACCAAGAAATGTTCAAAATGTTTGAAAGGCTTGGTAAGTGACTCTAGCTTCATTTCCATAGGAGAATATGGGAATTTCCGGGAAGTTCTTCTTCCTTTAGACTGCTAAACTAGTTCAGCTATTTTTTCCTCAACTGGAACATTACAACAACCTCCATATTGATTTCCTTGCCTGAAACTTTATTCCCTTTAAATTTGTCACCAGTATTGCCACTACTGTGATCCTGGTGTTAGACCATGTCATTCCTTCTAGTTAAAGTCTTCACTTGTAGAATAAATATAGATTTTAGCCTTTTTATTGGATATATATCCCAATAAACCCATCATGAGTTGAAAATATCATAAGTCAAAAATACATATATCTTAGTCATGCTAAGATATAGCATGATTCATGCTATATCTTAAGTTAACATGTTTATTTAATTTACCTGAACTGGCATAATTTGGCAACTCAGAACAATTTACAGAACACAAAAGTATGGGGCTAAGAAATAAAGGAAGAGGGGAGAGATGAGAAGGTATAACAAGAACTCTAAGATGAGGAAAATTACAGCATCATGTCTCTAAACTTGCTAACATTCAGACCTGAAAAGGAAACACCATGAATTCACTAACTGCCTTTGTGATATTAAATATACTAGTTAAAAACCAACTATTTTGAGGGTAACTCATTTTTTAGAAGGATGAGAAAAAAATGAATTTTTGTTGCCTTTAGTATTTTCTAATTCTAGCGAACCTCTTAAGAGATACTATTATTGACTGGGTGCGGTGGCTCATGTCTGTAATCCCAGTACTTTGGAAGGCAGAGGCGGGCAGATCACCTGAGGTCAGGTGTTCGAGACCAGCCTGGCCAACATGGTAAAACCCTGTCTTTACTAAAATACAAAACTTAGCCAGGCGTGGTAGCAAGTGCCTGTAATCCCAGCTACTCGGGAGCCTGAGGCAGGAGAATCATTGGAACTCAGGAGGCGGAGGTTGCAGTGAGCCGAGATTGCACCACTGCGCTCCAGCCTGGACGGCAGAGGAAGGAAGACTCCATCTCAAAAAAAAAAAAAAAGAGCGATACTATTAGAGTAGATAGTGTTATACTATAATAGAGCATTCAAATACCTTAGCTTGAAGAAAACATTAACAGCAATTTGTTCTTTGTTTCCATTTCACATTTACTAAGCAACATTCAGACCTACAATTTGTATCCTGAAAGGGATGATCTGTACTGAAAGATTACTCCAATCAGATGATTTATTCCCAGTTAATTTAACAGATAAATAGAGCTATATATTAGTTATTTAACAGATAAATTTTAAAATTGTAGTTAAGCAATATTCAGACCTACAATTTGGGTCCTGGATGGGATGATCTGTACTGAAAGATTACTGCAATCAGATGACCTATTCCCAGTTAATTTAACAGATAAATTTTAAAATTGTAGTTATTGGCCAGACAGTGGCTTATGCTTGTAATCCCAACACTTTGGGAGGCCAAGTAGAGAGGATCACTTGAGGCCAAGAGTTTGAGACCAGCTTGGGCAACCTAGCAATACCCTGTCTCTGAAAATTTTTAAAAATTAGCCAGGCATGGTTGTATGCACCTATAGACCCAGCTACTCAGGAGGCTGCAGCAAGAGGACAACTTAAGCCCAGGAGGTTGAGGTTGCAGTGAGCTGTGATCATACCACTGCATTCCAGCCTGGGCAACAGAGTGAGAACTTGTCTCTAGAAATAAAGATAAATAAATAAGTAGATAAACAATTGTAGTTATTAAGTAAAGCAGTTCCTTGTGAGTTTGTTAATATGCATCAGTTCTTAGAGCCTGCTAACACTAAGGAAACTGGTAAGTCTCTGGACTTGCAATGTCTTTAATCCTATAAATACTGGATTTAAGTGATGGGCTTAGCTTCTTACCTGACATTCCTACTTCATTCCAGCCACTTGTGATGACTGAAACAATGAGCCGCCTTTTTTGCAATTTTTTTTTTTTTAGTCAGATATTTCTGTTTTTAAAATAAATTACTCTATAGTTATATATTCTGATTAGTATAAAGAATTGTTGGCTGGGCACAGTGGCTCACGCCTTTTGTCCCAGTACTGTGGGAGGCCAAGACAGGCAGATTGCTTGAGCTCAGGAGTTTGAGACCAGCCTGGGCGACATGGTGAAACCCCCATCTCTGTGAAAAATACCAAAAAATTAGCCAGGTGTGGTGGCATACGTCTGTAGTCCCAGCTTCTTGGGAGGTTGAAATGGGAGGATCGCTTGGGCTGGGGAGGTGGAGGTTGCAGTGAGCCAAGATCTTGCTACTTTACTCCAGCCTGGGTGACAGAGCAAGACCCTGTCTCAAAAAAATAAAAAGAATTGTCTTACTAATGTTAGTCAAAGGGCTCCAAAGGTAAGTTTTCCTTCTAAAGAATATTACATATTGGAACACTTTAAGAATTTGCATTTCCCTCAAATATTGCCCTTTATAGACAATACCAATTGTCATATTTAAAACTCCTTTTGCCCCCTCAGTTTTACCGGGCAGAAGTTGAAGCCCTCCATTCTTCGGGTATGACGGCAGTTGTTAAATTCACTGACTACGGAAACTATGAAGAGGTGCTACTGAGCAATATCAAGCCCATTCAGACAGAGGCATGGGTACGTGATACATATTCTGTACAAAGGCATAAACTATTTTGAAGAAAATATATAGCTCTAAAGAATTAGATAGCCATACAAAATTTGCAAGTGGAATAATATTTTGAATTTACTTATAACTGGCTACCCTTAAAGTAAGATTTGAATTTAATGCTTACACTGAACTACAATAAAAATGAATGCATTGGAATTACTTTTTTTGTATAATGTTTTGTTGTATTATGCTTTGGAAATAGGTGCCCTTATTTACATGTTCGCCAAAAATTTCTACGTGTGAAATGGGTGTTTATGCATATTTTGTTTTTTTCCCAGTTTGTTACTTTGAATTTTACTAAATTATGTCCAGCAGCTGTCAAATTCAAATCTCTGTTGGATATGCATGTATCATTTATTATTTTAGTTACAGGTGAAATTAAGAAAAACACTTTTAAGTTATATACAATTTTACACTGCATTTACTGCATATATATTGATGTATATATGTACAGGTTAACTATAAATTATCTGTTTGCTAATTATTGGATTAGTTTTGTTACCAAATGTTATGTCAAAGCTGTGTGATAAATTTGATGATGTAACTTAGAACTTACTGGCCTCATGGAGTCCATTTTAGAAAGAACTTATGTGATTGTATATAGATTGATTCTTACATTTAGGCAGAAACAAGAATACAAGATGTATTAGAATGAGCTCTGTGAAGTTTTTCGTAATTCTTTCATTTAGTTTGTGAGTAGCTATTAATAAATTTATTGTTATAAGCCAATATCAACAAATATGTTGGCATTTTCCTAAAATAGCAAAATATTCTAGAAAATTACATCATCCAGACAGTAGCTTTCATCATTGAAGGATACATTGTTTTCTCATGAACTGCTTTTAGTTTTGGTCTTCTAAAATTTTTCTGTCATATCTTCAGTGGCACCCCTTCTCTACCTTCCAGAAAGAGAAATAAAATGGCAACAAAAAAACCAAAAACTCTAATAGTAGTAATAATGTTTTGGGCCATGGATCTTTATTTTTTGGCATTTTGTTCTAGAGAAATTATTTTCTAGATAATTTATTATTTCAACTTTTACAACATAAGATTACTAATGGCTCAAAGTTTAATTAAGAGATTGTTTCCCTAACTCTTATTCTCTAAACTTTAATTGCTCTTTGCCTAAAAACCCCAAATCATCAATGTCTAATTTACATCTTTCTTCTCTTGGAGAAACTTGGTGTAACTATATTTTTAGTCTTCCGAGAGGTTCTCATATGATGGCTATTTTCATTCTCTTTTCCATTAATACACACATTTTAATCTAGTTTTGATGATGAAAGTAATTATGTATTGAATCTGTATTTCTAGAAGTTGAGTCCTGGTTTGCTATTTATTATGTTCCCAGTTGTTTTTAGCCGTAGCAGTTAAAGATTCAAAATACAATTCTTATGTTATTTACTTCTTACTTTTTAGAAGACTTAATAAGAGATTAATTTTATTCTTCTCTCCCTAAAGAAAAATTTAGTTTTCTTATGTGGTTTCTTCTCTCTTTCCTTTTGCTGTTCCAGGGTGGCCATAGCTGATGAGCACATTTCTTATTCCTCACTGTAGCTCTTCTATTGAGAGGTGTTTGGTCCTGAAGTGATCATTTTCTTTCTATAGTCAGTGACTTTTCGTATTTCTCCTTTAAGAGTCCTCATTGCTTTATCCTTGATTTTAGGTCTGTATAAACTTAGCTGGAAAATCAATTTATCAGGTGTCACAGCTCATTTAATGATTCTGTTCTGAATTACAGCAATACTTTCATATTCTTCCTACTTATTTATGAATATTTATCTATTATTATGTCATTTATTAACCTATTTTCTTTTTCTACAATCAAGTTAAAAATCTTTTATAAAATATTTGAAATATTTTACAGAAAGAAGCAGGATAGAATCACTGAATCTTTTGGAGAGTCTGGTATTTCTTTTCTCATACTTTTATAATCAAATGGTTGTTGATGTTTTATGAATTTGCATAAGTTACTATAACAAACATCTCTGGATCATGCACATCATGATCAGCCTTTCTTCTTTATCTGCATAAATAATTAACTTAGTTGAGAGAAATATCTCCTCGAAATATAGAGGCCACCAGCTTAATATATCTCGACCTATTTGTATTTTAAAAAATATTTGTGTGCACATAGATGTCAAAAAACCCTCAAGAAATATAGTCTGTGTTGCTGTCAGTACATGTAATGTGGAGTTAGTATAGAATTCTCTTAGCCCCTGAAAGTATTAATGTTGGGGTCTTTGAGTACTTTTTAAAAATTTTGGTGAAGAGGAAATTATCACAAGTTTTAAGTCAATCAAAAATGTACAAAATTATCAAAAAACGAAACATTCACTGTACCAATAAGAAGATAACTATAACTGATAAATCATACTAGAAAAATTAAAGGGCTGCAAAGCTGCAGGGGAATGGTTAGAGAGGCCTTAGCACAATTATACTATGGATTGTGGAATTTTTAATTTTTTAACTTGTGCACTATATATGTGCACTACAATTTTTTTTTATTGTGAAATGGTATCTTTTATTAAGATTTATGTTTGTTATTGCCATAAGATTTTGGAAAACTCCTGTTTTCCTGAATGTAGCAGTGATCATTTAGTGAAGATTTTTTTAAACTAGTTTGCAGAAAAACAGTCAGAAAAGCCTGCATATAAGCCAAAAGCCTTTGTAGAAAATTAGTTGCTTGTATTGTCTTTTAAAAGTATAAGCATAAATCATTAAATAAAAAGCATGATATATGAAGTGACTCGATGACTAAGTTAATAGCCCGTTGTATGGAAAATTAAAATAAAAATCAAGTTAATACTTTAAATGTAAGTGTTAATGTTTTTCTCATGAAATTTAGAAATTATTTGCCTTAAATTTGTCAGTAGGCCAAATATTTATTTCTCCTTTTCCTGTGGATATATATTTTTACTTCTAGAACATACGCACTTGGGGAGTATATTTTTGAAATATTTTGAAAGTGTTAATGTTGGTGTCTTTGAGTACACATTTATATGGCCAAAATGTGTGTTTTGATTATGATTAAATACTAATTTTCTTCAAAATGATTCATTAAACTTCTGTTGTCATCCGTGATTTATTTGTTCTAGCTAGATTTCACCTGTTATTTTTTGTTAGTTTGTTTGTTTTGGCTGTCTTAAGATATTCTATCTTAATATGATGTCTTTATTGCAGTGAACTTTCTAGTTAACACACATGAGATGTGTGTTATTATTTAATAATAATAATATCTCCTTGAAATATAGAGGCCACCAGCTTAATATATCTCTTAGCCCCTGAAAGTATTAACTGGATAAATACTCATTATTAACTGCATAAATGCTCTTATTTATCTCAAAAAATGAGTTCTTTTAACATTGTAGGATTTTTCTTATTTTAGCAAAGTAAATGAAGCATTATGGAGTCTCATGTTTTACTAGTAAAATTACATATGGAAAAAAACAGATTTTCTGTTTCCTACCGCTGTATGAGAAAACTTTAGGGGCAAAGAAAACCTGCTACTTTTGTTTTCCACAGGCCCTTTCCAAATTGGTTCCTTTAAACTCTAAAACTAATTCCAGGAAACCAGCAAAAAGATGCCACAGGCAATTTGGAAGCTTGTAAAATACCCTGGTGCTGCTGGTCAGGCAAACTTTTTGTGTTGTTCCTTCTGAATTGTTCTCCTAAACCTGGGAAAACATTGCTGGGTCCTCATTTGCCATAAATATTCATGACCTGAATTTTATTGAGACTTTTATATCCTAAGAAGTGTTTTAGAGTGTGTTGATACCTAAACTTTCTTTTTAAAAGTTCATAGTATCCACTTCTTGGTATCAGGAAATGATCATTGTTCAGCTATTATTTCAACTATAAAAATGATTATTGTGTAGGTAATTGTTAGTTCTAAGACCTTAACATACAGTGCACATCATCTTGGCCAGTACTTCTGGAAAGTAATAGGCAAATTGTTATTGTCTTTTAAGTTGTCATCCTATCTTAAGTGTTTTTCTGTAGAATACTCATTTATTCAATAAATATTCATTAAGTGTCTCGTACATCTCTTAGGTGTCGGGCACTGTTCTAGGTGAGGGAATACATAAGTCTATAAAACACAAAAATCCCTGCCCTCTGCACAAAGATAAGAAAGTCATAGTTTTTATTATATGAAACAAACTGAAATATCTGATTAGGGTCTGAATTCTTCTTGAAGCTTTAAACAAAATACGAGTACAGAAAATGTTATTTACTGAAGTTTTAATTTAAATAATTATAGATTATTATTCCATATTAGTTTAAAGATAAAATTAATGTGGAAGAAGAAAGCATAACTTAAAGAATTGTATCTCTTTAAAAAGTTCTTATGGCCGGGCGCGGTGGCTCAAGCCTGTAATCCTAGCACTTTGGGAGGCCAAAACGGGCGGATCACGAGGTCAGGAGATCGAGACCATCCTGGCTAACCCGGTGAAACCCCGTCTCTACTAAAAAAATACAAAAAACTAGCTGGGCGAGGTGGCGGGCGCCTGTAGTCCCAGCTGTTCGAATGGCTGGTGCAGGAGAATGGCCTAAACTCGGGAGGCGGAGCTTGCAGTGAGCTGAGATCCGACCACTGCACTCCAGCCTGGGCGACAGAGCGAGCCTCCCTCTAAAAAAAAAAAAAAGTTCTTATATATTTTATCTATTTAAAAAGTAAAATTTGTTTGTAAGAGGGTTTGGGTTCTTTTTTTATGATAATTATGTATATTTTCATGTTAGCATACTTTAAAATGAAGAACTATCAATCTCAAGTTTTGGTTTTGAAGTAACTTTGTATACAATTTATTTTACAATGTCATCCTGGGAAGCACATGTGAAAGTTACCTTTTCAAATTCAAATAATATTAATAAGAAGCTACAAATTATTCCATCACTATTATAATATTAAAAAGAAAAATAGAACCTTCCATAATTCTAATGAGGAGGGTGATGGAGAGTTGTGATA